TAATCATTTATTCATGCTTATTTGTACCAATCAGCTGAAAGCTAAACAGTAAAATGCCCTCATGATTCTCAGGGGCTGTAAAACCACAGTGAATCACATTCACATACCCACGTCACTTAAATGTTCCTTTGCTGTACAATGTAAATAAAGCAATTCTTAATTAATAGAATCTCAATGCTGAATGTAATTAGTTTCCTTCAGTTATCCAAAGACTTAGCAAGTACAGATGAAAGACATTTGGTGTTCCTGTGTTACTTTTTGTTTTGGATTCTTTCCAAAGAAAAGGTTAATTGCTTTAAAAAAAGCTTGTTATTTTTTTTCAAACAGTATCAATGTTTTGCAATGTGCCAGAGATTTGGGGTAAACTGAGGTCTTTTTCTTTATTCAGGGTGTATTTTGCAACTCAGTATCCAGAGATGTGATGGGGTCTTTATCTGCTGAGAAATTATCTGACATAACATATAGTGGTTTGAGTTAAAATTGCTAGGACTGATGTATTAATTCTACCTGCAAGTGAGACCATTCATTTCATGAGTTTATTTTAATATTATTGATTGTGATGAAAGACTGGTGTTCGCACATGGCTTTTAGTGAGGTCTATCATAAACCTGTACTGGCTTAGCCATTGCCCATTGTCATCCTGGAACAAAAAGTTGTATTCTTTGTACTTTCGTATGGTGTATATTATTGTAAGGTCAATCTATGTATTTGTGGTTTTTGATCTCTTATCTGCGGATCCAGAGTCTTGTCCTTATTTGTTTGTCACACCATTTTCTCTCAGGTTAAATGGTTAAAGTGAGGCCTTCTGTCCATCATTGGGAGCAAGGGGGTGGAGCTCAAGGTATTTAACCTGGCACTATAACACTGACTGGTGGTTTACTATTTTATTGAATGTTTTATGTTTAGTAAATCCTTTTCAGCACATGAGCACTTCAGTTAACTGGTGCTTTTTTTGCACCAACATTTTATGACTTCTTCAATGTCCTGTGCTCTCACTATTAGAATGTTTTGTCACATTATATAGACATTTTGATGCTATGGATATATTGATTGCAATGTCCCATGTATACAATAATATATAAGTCATCACAAATACTTTTATCTCTTTTGGCTTTGTGACTGGCATACCATTAATTGATGATATACATTTTCTCAGATTCTGACAGTCAGATACAAAAGGAAGAAGATAATGGTATGGTAGGTTTTATTTTTGAGATATTGCAGGATATATAACAAAGCATTTGAAACCACTGTCCCCTGACCTGATATACAAATACCCAACCACCACCTTTACATAGCAAATACAATCATCACATCAATGGGAGATTATTTGTTTTTATTTCTACCTTTCACCAATAATCTAACTGATTAAATATCACCCAGTGTGTCACTGTATAACACGGAGATGATATTATAACTAGTATAACTAGCTTCTGTCAAGTACTGTACATGGGCTCCACTGTTTTTTTTTCTGCACCATTAGAAACTCATTGTTCCCAGTTCAGATGTATTGTCCTGAGGTTTAGAATGGAAGACGAAACATCAGCCTATCCACAGTCATGAAGGACTCCAGCAGTTCCTTTAAAACTGTGACTCAGTGCAAGTGTTTCTTGCTGTGTTTTCTTGACATACAGCCACTTCTGTCAAATCTCCTGCGGTATTATTGAGCACTGTGATTGCAGGCACACAGAATCAATCTATAGATCTCTCAACCTTGGTGGTGTCAGGAAATTAGATTACAATGTACATTATTAGGCAAAATGATGTTTAAGGCGTGAAACACTCATGCAGTAAAAAATGGTTGTTGTAAATAAAATTCAACAATCTGGATGTCCCTTTATTTGGCATCGAATACATTTCCTTATAATTGGGAAGGGATATGCTATATAGAGAGAAGTAGCAGAAAGAATATCAGGACCTGATCGTTTTGAAGTGCAAAAACAAAAGTCTTGTAACAAGGAAGAGTCTGAGACAGCATAAACATTAGGACCACAGAAGAAAAACCTGAAATAAGTGAAAGTAGTATCAGGATGGAGGGTTGAAAGATTCCGGTGTCTCAAGACAAAAAAAAAATAGCATCAATTACATTTTCTGCCATTCATAACCTTTCTTATTTTCTGATTCAAGGATTCATTCGGATTTTGCCTCTTATTGCATGTAATAAGACATTTAAGGTAGATGGAGACAACCTCCTTGTTACTGATGGCAATATGGCATCAAACACATGATGTAGAAGCTATACAAATGAAACTGTGGGGAACATTTACATCCAAAAGTAAACCCATTGTTTTCTGGTTGAGGTTGGCACGTCAGGTGTAGAACACCATGGCTGGGTCACAGAAATGTCTGCTGCAGGGAAGATGCATTTCCAGCTAACTGTGAGAGTCTAGCACTGCACACTTCAGAAAATGGATGAATTTAGCTGACCTTTCCTAGGGAATCTGTTGACTTTCAACCCTAGTGGTCTATTAGAGGTTATCAAATTGGATTTCTGTTGAAGGTTCTCACTCCTCCCATTCCCTTTGAGTAACCTTACTTTAACTGTAGAGAATTATTGACAGAGCTCTTCGATGATGCACAAGACTTACTGTATAAGCAAAAAAAACGTCACAACATTCAGCAGATGATATGGATTTGAGGCTAATAAAAACAGCATCAGTTAACCATGGTTTTGACTGCCTTGCATTTTACTGCATTACCCAAAAAAATGTAATTGGCTTTTATATCTTGTATGTACTGCATGAACACAGTGTTTATGTAAAATTAAAATATTAATTTCTCACATTTCTTTTGAAAGTAATCATGTTTGATTACCCTTTTAACCTGTCATAAGATATTAGGTTATTCCAATTTAAAGACTATTATACATCAAATTATATTATTATAAATTCCACTGAGCTGCAGTGTATTTTGATTTTAATGTTATCCTGAATACCTCACAAGCACTTCATTTTTAGAACATAGTGCTAGGGACATCTAGTGGTCTTAATTGAGCATATCAGACAGCTATGTCTGGTCCCTGGTAATCTATGCCTGCAGGAAGGGCTGCACTCAGATTAAAAAGTCAATTATATTTTCACATAATTTATTTTCAAGAGACCTTAACACAAGATAAATATAAGGAGCAAGTAATAGGTTTATTCCATGCTGAAAAGAGAAGAAAACACAATGTTTAGTCTGTGGAGCCTTCTTCGGGTGTAAGAAGGATAGGGCAGTCGGCACAGATAATATAGCATGGGAAAACACAAGCCAGGAGAGAGGGGGAGGTTGGGAGCAGGCGACAGGCAGAGGGACCAATCAAATTGTGCGAGGTCGACAGAGCTGAGGAGAGGTGGGAAATTCGGCGCTGGTGCGATTGTCTGCATGTCTCTGTTTGTGTCTGCTTGCCCTAAGCTGGACTGGCTTGTTGGGATAGGTTCCAGCTCCCCCAGTAAGACTGAATTGAAAGAGGTGGCTAGAAAATGGATGGGCAGATATTCAGGAGAGGCATCAATCAGTAGATCATAAAAGTGATAAAAGGTCAAACTATCTATGAATGCAATGTGATTCTGTTGGGTAAAAATAAAAAAAGTCAGCTTCTGGTCACTATAAAGTGAAGACGCTAGTGATCATCTTTAGCTGGAGTGATACTCAACAAAACTATCAAGAAAATTAACAAATCCAAATATTAGACAGAACAATGCAAGTGGTAGAAAAAATGTTTCCTTTCACGGCACAAAGCGAATACCTTTGTAACTACACAGGAAACGTGAATGTTGATCTTCAGAATATCTAACAAAGGCCAGAACATTCAATTTATACACGTTGTAAGTAAATATCTGATGCTGCTTTTCAAGCAGTCTTTTATTCTAGCCACAATCAAAGGTATTTAAAAAGACATAATACAAGGGTACATACGTATGGCGGATTGAAATCGTAAAAATTGGTGTAAATTTTAATTGGTGATTCAAACTACAACAAAAATTGAATTCATAGAGACAAGGACAACCAGTCCTTCAGAAATAACCATTTATGGCAACAGTAGGCTTTATTAACTAAACTTGTCACTTTCAAACTCTTCATTGTTGGTGAATAAGACCGTCAATCTTTTTTTCATGCTCTTTTTCTTGTTTGTTTTCCTTTGATCTATTCAAAAAAGATTATGGAAGAAACAAGCTAATCATCAGAGTATCACATTACAGCTCTTACTCTGAATCCACTAGGATATTAGAGCAATTATTTAGCAGCTACATAATGCAGTTTGACATCTTAAGAACAAAGTGACATCTTGGTGAGGAAAGAGACAGACAGAAAGAGAGCTAGAAAACATTATTCTTTAACAGCAGTTCTAGTTAATTGCAATTGCAATTGCAATTGTGCAGCAGACATTACTTAATATCCTAAACTACCCATTACATAACAGGAGAATGTTAGCTTCGAGAGCAGCTGATACAGTCAGAATTAAGAAATACAATGAATAATTTTTAATCTTAATTACCTTACTAGGTTCAGTGAAAATTATATGGTTGTCTACTAAGAATCAAGTGTGATGCACTACATGCAGCTTCTGATCCTTCTTGAGTACTGGTGTAATCAAATCTAGGTTGTTCATTTCATACTTTGTGAAGCGAAATCTGCAGGCAAAATAGGCCAAAAAAAGTTTTTTTTAAATTACATTCAAATAAAAAAAACCAAACACATTCACCTAACCAGAAACACACTGAGAAAATGTATACCTAACATTTCTATCCCAGGCAAAAACTACTTATCCTTTGTTTCTGAATGTATTTCCTTATACATGTTTTGTCGTTTTGTCATATATAGCGCCATCTCATGCTCTGCTCGGCTAATGTAAACCAGTGCCTCATAATCACCATATAAACATAGGGGCATAGATATGTGAGCAAATACCCCCCCATATGCATCCATAAAAATAACCCCCATACTGTATATGCAATATGTGTGTGAAATATCTTAATTCTTGAAAAGCAAGAAAAAAAGAAGACAGCAGAGAAGACAAGCACTTTAAATGTCCCGCTGGACTCTTTATTTTCATGCATAGCTTGGACAAGTGTGTAGTGAAACGGCTGTATAGATAGAAATGAAATCTGACATTCATTCTTTTTTCCATCTTTTCATCTTTTGGGGATTATTCACAAAATATTTTATTTTTCAATTCACCAGTCCTTCAGGGTTAGGTTTGAACATAGAAAAGTGCTGTGTTAAAACATAAATACAATACAAAACAAAAAGCTTCTAACCTAAAACATTCAGCAAGGTTTTGTACAACACAGTGCAATTGTTTTAGAAATGATTTTTTTTTCAAAGAAACTCAGTTTTTCAGCACTGGCTTTTCAGTTGTGACACTTGTTTGAACTACTTTCTGTACAAAACAAAGATTCTTTGTAAACACTCCATCTAAACCATAAATTAAAAAGCACCTTTCAGAAGAAGAATGAAACAAATGAACAAAACATCTCAGCAGTTATTTTACAAATTAAAGATTGCATATTTGTGTTTCCAGTCCCAACAGCAGAAAAAATACACATATAACTTTGGGCCACACTAGTCATGTGAAGAAGAAGTACATAAGCAAAAAAACATTTCACAGAAGCAAAATATTAAGCCAATTAGTTGGGCAAAAAGCATAGCATTTTCATTCTTGTTGTTAGTATTAAGGCTTTCTATAAATGGCCAGTTAAGATCAAGATTATCTTGCAGCTTTATAAAAAGACACTGCAATGAAATGATACATTTGCACAGACCATACACGTGGGCAATCACAACATGTCCTTTTGAAATGTTTGATATCAGTTATCTTTCATTTCATTAAAAAGCCGTCGTCTTTTTTAAAATCGAAGCCAAGGTTTTTCTAAAAAAACAACAACCAATAAGCTCTATAAACAAAAATCTCCAATGCCAAGTGTCAAGAACTTAATCCATTATGCAGTTAAACTCATAGAGCATCGGTGATATTCCTGTTCTGTTGTGAAATTTAGCTGATAGCAACTTGTGAAGAATGATAATGTTTTAGTCACCATGTGCTGTACTGCAGTACCAGAGCAAACAGGAGTAATTGTTAAACTTTAAAAGTAACACAAACCGACTAGTTTTACTTTTTACGAAGCATCAGGGTGTTACAGTTTTACCTCTTAGTGTTTCTATGACTGTTCCCACATCTATACTAAATTTTAACAACTGGCAGCCTCTTTAAAAATGGGGAAAAGCTGAACTTAATTGATAAAAATATTTCCATCCTAGTTCAGAACCAGTGTTTAAGAACTAACATTTGTTCACCATTAATAACTGAACACTGCCACCTAGTTAAAAAAAAAGAGATGTGCAATAAAAAGAAATATGACCCTAACACAAACTTTTCTGAAGCGTGTGTTGAATAACTTTGAATAATAACATTAACAGGTTCTTACAAGGTTGAGAAATAGTAAATTCAGGTAGTTTGTTCACATGAACTTAAAATGAGAAATACTGTATTTCACATTTTCCTTCTTCAAAAATAAAATCTGGTTTATTAGTGGTACTCTCCTGATCATTATAATCATCGTTAAAACCACTTCAATATTTCATTGTGACAGCCAGTGTTTGAACAAAAACATACAGTATTTTAATCTATTTAAATATCATTCAGTAACACCCAAATCAACTCAGCCATTGGCAAGCAAATACCTACACTTGTCCAGAAAATACCAGGACCATATAATACAGATCTGTATCGCCAACAACTGACGGTGATTATTATAATTAAAATCTCTAGGAAATAAACATTTTAAAAGAGGGCAAATTATGTTAATTATTTAAAAGTAAAACCTGTATAAACCAAATTTTGCCAAGCAAAATTAAGAGGGTTATTAAGAGGGTAAAAGCTAAACTTCAACACAATGCATGAGACTTTTTTTCTACATAGGATTTGTATCCATGGTAGGGTGCAGGGCAGGTAGGAAAGTTGGACTTCAGTGGACAGCTATCTGATTTCTTAGTGTAAAACTTGACCCATGACACAAATAATAAGATGCTTAAGTAACAATAACAGGCATTAGGAAACAACATGACAACCAAATGCCACACAAGTAACAGTCTTAACAGCCTAATTTCTGTTCCCTTCATGCTGGAGAATACTTGACAGAAGGACTTTTTAAGCCATCGCTCTCTGGGTTAGGTATCTTGGGCGGGTCAGTAGCATTTACACAGTCTGTGGTGCAGTTTCAGAATGAAAGTCACCTGCTGTAGTGAAGATTCATTTCACATGCTCCGCACTATGTGAAGAGCAGTAGTACTTTTTGTGAGCTATAAAAGTCGAAAGGCTGCTGAACTTGATGTTGCATAAGCGGCAGTATCGGCTGTTGCCATTCTGTACGGGGGGCGCTGTCCCCTTGGGTGCAGGGGTGGGCTTGTCTGCGAGGAGAGGGGGTGTCAGCGGTTTGAGCGAGGCCTCCCTTAGCACTTCAGGCACTGGTGAGATATTAAGTGACACCGCTGCAGCTGTGGCGGCAGCAGGCGAAACGGGCGGAGCCAGCTTCGGCGAGGTGGCACTGGGCCCGGCGGGGTTGCCGTTGACAACAGGCGAGGAGGGTGAGCCCGTCTCTTTCATCTCCCGTCCGTTCACGTTGTCGTTTCGGCTCTTGAACCCCAGCTTCGGGGGCGTGTTGGGAACAATTCTGGGACTGGGAATTGGGCTGGCCTGGGCAGGCTGGCTCTCTGACTGGTGTCTACTTTGTTGGGAGACTTCCTTAAGGTTGCCAGCCTGTGCTGCATGTCCTATAGCCTGCATGGTCAACAGAAGGCCATGCACATTTTTGAAATGCTCCATCAAGTCACCCTTGATAGCTCCGTTGAGGGGACAGTAGGGGCAAACAACAGGGGAAGTGTTTGGCAGGACAGGTAAGGCCTTCAAGAAAGCAGTCTGGTGTGGAGTGACACCCTCTGAACTTGGCAAAGAAGTTCCAGGCAAAGTAGTGGAATTAGTGCAAGCTGGACTTGGAACAGGGACTGCCAAAGGATTCTTTTCTGTTTTGATCCCCTTAATGTCTAAATGTTCCGCTTGGAAATCAGCCTTTTCTGGGATTCTGGCTTTTGGCGAATTAGAGGAGGACCGTTTCATTCTGTGAAGCTGCTCGAATGTTTTCTGCTGTAGCGTGGTAGCAGGGCAATAATACGTCTTATGGGCTAGGTAGTTTTCTATGCTATTGAAGCTGATGCTGCATGCTGTACATTTGTGGTAGTCGGTTAGGGGAAGCACGGGAATGGGCAGCTGATCTTCTTGCAGGCGGGGTTTCTTGCTGAGGTCAATGGGACCATCTCCTTCTGGGCTTGAGCTAGGAGATGGTACTGTGCCAGTCCCTGCTGCTGTGATCATGGCTACTGGCATGGGCGAAGGGTCTAGTGGTCTCCCAACCATGGCTATAGGCTCTTGTTTGATGCTTAAAGTTGGATTACCCAGAGCCTCATTGCGGGCCATGTGGATCTCGTATAGCTTCCTGCGTTTTCTGGTTCGAACTGGCTGTGGTAGGAAGGTCACCTTGCCGGATCTTGTCCTCTGGTTTGGCGGGTCATGCCTTGAAGCACAGTAGTAGCGTTTGTGCACCATATAGTTCTCATGGCGACTGAACCGGATATTGCAGGCTTCACAGAAAGTCTTGGTTGGGTCGTCCTCTATGTCCTCCACAGAGTTGCTGGGACTCTGGCTGCCCTCACTTACTCTACTCCCACTCTCTCCTTCGGAAGATGTGTCTTTGAGGCCAGGGTCCTCAGTCTTCACTTCAACTGCCTTGGCATCCATGCTGCTTCCTGAGGGCTCCGTTTCTGTGTCGCTGTGCGAGGAAGAGGGAGCTCTGCTTCCAGCGGCAGGAGGGGGAGAGCTGTATGCAGCAGGGACTGAAGCTGTGGGGTTGTCTTTTGCATGGGGGAGAGCCATGGGGTTTTCTCCCTGCTGATGCCGGCTGGAGCAGTACAATCTCTTGTGGACATAGTAGTTGTTGATGTTGTTGAACGTTATGTCGCACTCGAAGCAGGTGGCCCCTTTCTGGATGGGGGAGCCTGCGTAAAAGGGAGGGGCACCGCTCTGACCTTGTTTGAGTCTGCTGTGCACCATCTCCGACATTTTGGCCAGGATTTCAGAAGCCTGAGGTACAATGGAGGCTTCTGTGCTGAACATGTACTGGGGCAGAAAAACAGTCCCTCCAGGAATCATGGAACCTGTGCCAAAATGGACCGGGCTAGAGCCAGGGGTTGGGCTGGAGAGCTCCGTCTTGACTTTGATGGAGTGCAGACTTTTGGGCGAGGAGGTCTGGGAAGAAGAATCATTAACAGTTTTCTCCTGGGCTCTCCCTTCTGCGCTGCTGTCCTCGGCTTCATTTTCCGAATCGGAGTCCTTGGCGGACTTCGGTTCTTCCTTGATTTTCACCGCTGACAGCTCCCCCGCCGGACTACCCTCTCTAGGAGTTATCACTCCCCCATCAGTTCCTGGACTGGCAGACTCCGGTAAGGAAACTGATCCCTCCAGATTCTTTTCCTGTCGCTCTGGCTGCTCGAGGGGGTTGGGTGGGCTCTGCACTGGGGCAGGGCTTTGCGCATTCTGTACTTTCCCCTCTACGTGGGTTAGCATGTGCTGCTGGAGACTGGCTGGGGACTCAGCTTGAAGTCCACACAGCTGGCATTTCACAGCTGCTCCAGACTCTGTAGGACTCAGGCCTACAATAGAAGACAAGGCATATTTCAAAAAGAGTTCACACTGCAGCAGATTTTAATATTTAATCAGCCTAGATTAGTAGATTGGATTTTTATGTTGTTTTAACAGTCCTGTTGACACCATTTGAACTTTCCCTCTACTTTTTAGGGATGTGATATCAAATCAATCAATCAATCAATCAAATGATATCAATGAACGTTTCTGAAGATATTTGTATTCCTTTTAAGAAATCTGCCTAAATAGATCAAGCAGAAACAAAATGTCGCCCTTCTCATGAATAAAGGGCAATATACAATGTAAAAACATTGCTTACGGCAGCATTTTGTTACAAAGAGATGTAACATGGTTTAGTTTTCCCAGAGCAGTTACCTTGAATACTCACATAAAGCCAGCATTACAACCTCCGAGTACTATAGCAAAGTTTTTCATCTTTTTGATATAGGTACAGTATGTAAGTAGCATAAAATCACATGGCAGTTTATAGTTTGGAAATCAAGATGAATAACTGGCCAACCTTTGCAGGAATGAAAGCTTTTGTATGGAGCTGCATCACTTGCCCTGTTATTTCAGGAGAAGGGCCTCCTGAACTATTGATTTTGGTTGATGCCCATTTACAGTAATCAAAGTGTTTGAAAAGGGCTTCGTACCTGCTGCTAAGGGTATCGCTGGAACGCCAGGTCCTGGAGAGCTAACTTCACTTTTGGACCCTGGCTGGCAGACCATGTGGCTGGTCACCAGGTGACTGTACAGAATGTCCCGAGTGGTGCTGACATATCCACAGCCATGGCAGACTCCTGCAGAACCAACAACTGGGTGTCAGAGGGCAAAACGTCACAGTGATGTTACACTGTGGAGCAATTCATTTTAAGTTCTGTGTTCATTTTACGAAACACTCTCAAAGACTAATTCCATCCATGCATTATTAGCAAAACACTTGAGGATCATAGCAAACAGGAGTCTATTCCAGAGCATGGGAAGCCAAGTGGAACAGACAGCACACACCTACTCAGGCTGGGATGCCGTTATATCACAGGGCTCAAGACAAATTTACAGCAATCCAACCTAGCCAGTATGCTTTTGGGAGGTGAGAGGAAAACAAATGTCTAAAGAAATCTTGAAAAGAACATGCAACATTCACACGTATGGATGCCTGAACTCTGAGTTGAACCCAGGAGTTTGTAACTGTGAGGTAACAGCATTGACCAACATGTCACTGTGCTTCCCTGTAAATCAGTCATTTCCAAAAGGTCTCTGTTTTCAGAAGTTAAATAAAGATAAATCTGTGAATATCTACTTTATGGGGAGAATAAACTGCCTTTAGCCTGTAAGAAACCCAAATTTGTTAACGTTTGAAAGGAGACAAGTAGTAAACCAGATACTGTTCCAGACAAAATAGCTTTATTACTGCTGTTGATATGAACAGATTATCTCTGACCTTGAGAATTTTTCACAGAACATGAAACAGAACTTCTGCCAGCTTAGCCTTACTGGTATAAGTAGAATCAGAGCATTTCTGTGAGCACAAATGTGGAAAATGAGCTTCCAAACAAACTATCAACAGAAAAAACAGCACACTTACTGTCATTTTAGTCCCTTTCTGGAATACAATTTTAAGCTTTTACATTGGAGACATTGATAAGGGCACAGAAGGGTGTAAGGAAGGATTAAAGTGATATCAGTTCATCTAATCATTGATGGTCTCCAACAGACAGTAAGTCTTAGTTGTGCACAAGTTTCAACACACAAATTTAGAAACCCAGCAACACATGGGTCAATAAAACCCTTTCGACAGATCCTCACCATTGAGTGTATCGGTGTGGACTTTCAAGTGGCGCTCACAGTTGGCCTTCGTTGTAAAGGCAGACAAGCAGATGAGACAGACGAAGGGACGCTCCCCTGAAAAGATAAGAAGTTTTGACCAAAAGTTCGGGTGACTTTGAAGATACAGCAGGGAAAAACTGAAGAACACTAGGTTTACATTCATACACCCAGACCAGCAGACAGTCCCATTCACGGTAAAGCTAAAGCAAAGCACAACACCTTTTCTAGAAATATGGAAAGTTAAAAAACCTGGAATGGCTGTCAGCCTATTTTAAAGGGAGTTACTGTATTACAAATTAATACGGATTCACATCAGTTACACCGACAGCAAGTGAAAAGAAAGGAATGGACAGTCATTTAACTGGGCTTTCAGTCTCAGCCTCTCCTTGCTGGGGTGTCAGAGAAGCACAGGTGAGAGGATGTCTTACCACTGTGTGTGCGCATGTGTATCTCCAGCGAGCTAGCACTGGGGCAGCTCTTGTTGCAGTGTGGGAAGGGGCAGACGCGCTCGTTGGGGTACGAGTCTTTGGGCTTCTCCTGAGGCGGGGAGGAGGGCTCCTGTCTCTGCCGGCTGGCGCAGTAATACATGAGGTGAGCCTGGAGGTTCCTTTCGCTGCGGTACCAAATCCCACAGTCCTTGCAGGGAAAGATGTCCTCTGGAAACAACACAGGGAAGGTGAACAATATAAATCAGCAGTCCTGCACTTACTTTACAGCCACGGCCAGGTAACGCATCTCAAATATTTGTGAAAAGCAATTCACCAATTGAGCTGGAGACCCATCACAGTTTTATATCACCATCAAGGGCTAAGAAAAGAATTCGGTTTTGTTTTCAGTCTTATTAATGCTATTTACATCTATGTGAGGAGTTTGTGTACTAGGTGTACTAGCACTGTTGTAAAATGGGCTGATATTGATCATTGTGATCTGATGTGATCAGAATTTCTGTTCATAGCACTGATTAGAAAACTAGGGGTTAGTGAATTAGCTGAGGTCAGTTTGAACAAACCTAAAAACCCATGTCAAATGGAAAATGCCGTTTTGACCAAAAAAAGTCTGGAGAGAAATATTTAAAGGATCAAAATTAATTGTTCAGATCTTTTTTTTACTACAATTATTGTCCGCAAATTATTTAATAAGATGCATCTGTGTCTCTGCTTTGTCTTATATGTCTGATACACCCATCACTTAGAGGCAAATTAATAATGATCCACTGCAGAGCACAGGCTCGGACACAGGGACTATGTAGAGACAATTAACCTAACCAGCACAAGTTTGGAAAACTACATGTGCAAGTGGAGCACACAGAAGTTATTATTTAAATATTAATTCAAAGAAATAGACTGATCTCAAATGGGCGAACAGTGAATTCATCACTACATTTATATTTGTGTCCAAGCAAAGTTCAAGAAGTTTCTCTCGCATATAATCTGAATCTATACTGTATATATTTATGAAAGTACTGCACGCTTTGCCTAACCCAAACCCCACCTCTATTCATAACTCTAAATCTAACTCTTTTTTTTATACAAAATTAATGCACAGTATGTCGAGCTGCTTTGCTTTCAGTTTCGATGATGATTGCTTGTGTGATGTCGACAGTTCAATATTCAACCCATTTCGATTGTAATGTATTAAAAGTAAGTATTCCAATACAAGTTCGGTATATTCAGTTTAATAATAACAACCACTAAGTTAGCACTATATGGATATATGGAATGACTACATGAATCATACAGTTAAATGACCATGTTGCCGTGTCTGCCCTGAACAATATGCCACCCTCTTCCATTAACTTGTGCTGCCACCTGGTGTTGCCTGTCATAGATTTCAGCAAGCTCGGAGGGTCCAAGCTCAGCCAATTTAAAGCTAGCTGATTAAAAATAAAGCTGGAGTGCACCGGTGAACAGTAAACCTCCTGATTTTATGTATGTTACGTGCTGAGCTTAGATGCCGCAGCAGGAGAATATAGCTGAGTGTACTGTATGAATCAAGCATGATTACAATTCCATAGATTTTAAAAAAGTAAAAAGAATCCTTTTAGAAAACTGATTCTAGAGTGTTGTCATGGTAGCCTTCAGTAGATCTTCAAATCCAATAAATAATAATAATAATTATTATTATTATTATTATTATTATTATTATTTTATTATTATTATTATTATTTGAAGTGTGAAGTTTGCAATGGACAGAAGGGTGGAAGACAATATTACAGGTAAACTATTTGCTTTTGTGTCTTTGTACAGGCCCTTACTGTGGTGTCTGAATGGTTGCGGGCTGGACTTACTGTTGACAACGGCTGTGGCCAAGATGGCTGCCATGCCTGCTTGCTGCGGGAGAAGCTGAATGTCAGAGTGCAGTGCCGCTGGGTAGGGCAGAGATTCCTCCTTCACCCGGGCAGTACTGGACTTGGACAGAGTGGACTCCTCTGCAGGGCTCGCTGTTAGAACAGCAGTCAAACATTCCCCTTCTGACACCCCTTGGGTCAGCTTGCAGTAAACCTCCTCACCTGGAAGTGAAAACAGATGCAGAACATTCAGGGCAAGGTCATTTTTTAATGGAAAAGCTGCAGAACTCTTGAAGTACTATTCTGTGAACTATATTCAAGCTCCCTTTGAATATTAATCATGCAGATTCATTCATTAGCACCTAGCTTTCAGCCAACGCAAAAATGAACTGGTTGTGACCTGTAAATAAAATGTCCTGCTCCTGTAATTCTGGATGAAAGGAAATTAGCACATCCTTTAGTGGTCACAAGCATGAAAGCAGGTAACCAAAGAACTCAAATTAAGTGTTTTACTTAATTTGAAAAAAATTGAAAAAACCTATGCTCATTCAAATATAACTTTATAATTTGTGAAAGTTGAAAGCAAGATTTAAAAAAGGCAATTAAAAATAAACTTAATGGATTTTAAAAAGCGAAGATTTGACTTCAAGTTTATACTTCATCTCTTTCCTTTTTCCAGTTTAAGATCTTTTCTTTTCTTTTAATCTGATTTTTTAAAATACAAATAACCATTTTTCAGATTCAAGAAGCTCTTTCTTTACACCCACCTTTGCTGTAAACAGTGGAATTTGCTGCACCTTCACTGGAGGAAAATGAAAGTTTCAAGAGCCAGCATTCTTCATCTTCGAGCAGAAGTTTAAATGTGGGCCCCTGGTAAAAAAAATACATACAAAATAAGGCGCTTGGAGATTACTGAACTATAATTTTATCTAACTTAATTTTATTTAAGCTGTGATTGAATGGAGTTGGAAATCCATGTATTCCAATGTGTACCTTCATTTTTTGTAAATATCAACAACTGAGGTACTTTGGGCAAGTAGTTGTAGAAAACCTGAAGGATTTCAGGAAGGCAGATGAAGGCAGGTAGATGAGCAGATTGTGCTCTCAGGCCAGCCATGGTACATATGGTTAAATAGTAGCAAAACAAAGACTTAAAAGCAGAGATCTATGCTGTGCAAATGAAAAGCCTGAAACGTTTTCACCGATGTGTGTTTGTGTGATGAGGGTGATGAGGGTGAGCAGAAAAGGTCAGGCTGCAAGAATTTGCAAGAATGGTCTGAGATGGTTTGGATGCTGGAGATGATCAGCATGGACAGGCCGACATAAATCCCTGTATCAGAGTGAGAAGGGGCTCGTAGGCGGGGAAGACCCTTTAAAAGAGGGTTAGACAAAGCTGCCAATTGGCTGTGAACCAGTGAACTGAAGATGCCAGTTACAGGGCAAATCTAAGGGCCTTCAAGAGGCAAAAAGTATGATGTGAAGATCAGAAGAAATGGTGGCAACTGCTTCAATTCCAACCCCAAATTGTGTGGATATAATATAGCTCTGCCATATGAATATGGAAATGAGCACTGCCAAATACAAGCTACACTTTTTTCCCCACGACATACAGTATCAGTCTCCCGCTCACGTGTGCAGCAGCCCTGAAGCCTCATACTGATCCCGAGTTGAGTTACAGTGTATTTTTGAATGTTTAGAAAAAACAAAAATAAGCATTACTGGTGCTATTTCGTGACCTGCGTTGAAGCAGATAATGAAGAGGCCCAGATGAAAGAAACAAAGGCGTGCGGCGTGTCTCACACTGCGCCACCCTGGGCAACACACCGGCCTAGCAAGGGGAGGCTTTGCATGAGCTGCATAAGCAAATGAAGGAGAAAAAGAGATTAAAAAGACTACAAGATGAGGACAACTCAGCCCTTGCCTCTTTACTCCAGTTGGAAATAAAACAGATGGCATCAAAAACAACAGGCCCCCTGAGTGTTAAAGGCCTCTTCTGTGTCTCAGGAGGAATGCAACTGTACCACAGGTCAGAGTGCGATATACCAGCTGGAGAAATTAAAGTCTTGCTGACAGAGGTTATTTTAGCCCCACGTCTGTAGTCTAGGACAAAGACTAATTTTGAGCACACCAGTAAAGATATATGTACAGTATAGCTCTCACATTCCTGGGAGCTTTTCAAATAGTGCTTAATGTGATCATCTACAGGAAAAAAACACATATCAGGCCTTTTCTGTATAAAAGCAGCACCAGGTACAACTGCGTTCCTTCCATTCCTTCACAGCCCTGTTCTCTGTGGAAGACTGACCTTCCACAAAAAATAAACTAAAAGCAGAACTGTGGTTCCAGAAAACTGTACCACCCATTTACTCCTTTATCAACTTGAGTGATTAACTGGATTTCTCACCAAGGCATGACGTTCTCTGAAGTCTACACGAGCACATTATTCATTCATTTTCTCTATTCTGAAACCGCCTTTACCGATGAGTATCTGAGTTTCATGCAACCCTCATTATGGGTGTAATCTGAATTTTGGGCGACAGGCTGTGAAATGGACACACTCTGCAATACCCTCCCCCAACCTTGGACCTTATTTCCCTTATTTTATCTAGTTAGACAAAACTGTCACCTGGGCTTCAACATTTTCAGTCATCACAGACACTCAATCCAGGGGAGGCTGTGGGGGTGGAAGGGATCCCCATTACCAAAAGCACTTTGAGTGGAGTGTCCAGAAAAGCACTATGTAAGTGTAAGGAATTATTATTATAACTTAAAAACTCTGAGAACCACTGGCTTGTTAGCAAGGGAGCCACCAGGGGGCAGTAGTTTGCTATAGCTATCTAAGCTATCTGTCATTAAGACCGTGTTGTGGCTGTACTTTGACTTGCACAGACAATCGGTTCCACAAAGTTATGTGCTGTGCCAGGGGGCACATTTGGGGCTGATATTACAGACGCGCTACCAAATTGATTTTACAGACTTGAAAGAATGAAAGACACAGTTCAAACCTAGAGCAAAAAATTATTAAAATAGAGGGTGAGAAAGAGAAAAAGAGAAGGCTGCATGCTAAAAGGTTTATTTCTAATTATGGCAGTTCTAGCCTAAAGACCTGCAGTATTGTATTTCATCGGGAACACTCTCTGATTCCAAGATATCTCCCCTTTTGTTTTAATTTGAAACCCAATATCTTTGCAGCATGCAGCCACAAGCACTGCGTGCCTGCTCTAATTTGTTTCAGACTAATTTAACAAGACTTTATTTTGTATTTTGAAAGGAAAGGCCAATGCAGATAGAATAGCCCTCAGAAACACACGCATACACACTTCTGCACAATTTCATGAATTCATTTCATTAAGATAGTAACACATTCTAAACGCATGAACAAAAGGGTTAATGATTTGAAGTGCCGTACTGTAAACTGCAAAGGTTTTCTCTGTGTGTACAAGGTGCAGGATGATCTTGCAGGACAAAAATGCTAGCAAGGTGTACTGTATTTACACTGGCTTTAATCAAGCAGTTTGGGAACGAAGAGGTAAAAAAAAATAGAAGGTCCTGCAATTCAGTCATTAAAATCTTTTTTGGCAGTCTATTAACATATATGTGTGAGACAGTAGTGTCCTTCAACAGCTTTGAACTGTTATTCAGACAGTTTAATGCAGTATTCTTTATAGCGCAGGGTGGCTTTCAGAAGCAGTGTTTGTCTGCTGCTCTTGGAACAGGCTGACATCTATGGGGCAGCAGGGGCCAGTACAGTATATCACTGTTGCCGATGTTACAGGTAAATGGTGAGTTTGAAGATTTCAGTCTGATTTGTCTTCTAAAAAAATGTAATTTAAGTGAACTTTAAAGGGTGGCATTCCTCTTATTATTATTTTTTTGTCACTAAAAACATTTATAAAAAGCCCACCTTTTACACAACCTTATACAGCATGGCTTTGTAAAACACTCATTTTTAGATTATTTGTTATAGCAGAATTTTGTGAAGTGTTAAGAAATAACAGCACACACCAGTGAGAGATATCTCTGAAAGGGGATTCAACACCAAATAATTCCTTGAATGGCATTGGAAAATACACGCTACTTGAATATCACTAACAAGCCTACAGCTTGGCCTAGACTCAATAATGGGAGCGCAAAAGCAATAGATCTACTGCAGAACCAGTTTTTGAACATCTCCAATCCCAGAGGGCTGTAACAGCAAGCCTGGCATTTTTCTAAACTGTAAAAAACGTCACATCATATTGTGCATGAGCACAATGGTTCATCAGGTGGGAAATGACATGAGTTTCTGTAGTGCTGATAGACAGAGAGTCTGACGGCTCTGGGGGGATGAGGGGATGTTTATCTCCTAACAGGGTTACTCAGGGCAATGCTAGTACCCATTTATGCATCTTGATGGACCAGAGCAACCAAGTATCTTGTCCTATAGGTAGTGGGGATTTGAACCCACAGCCATCTACTTAGGAGTCCAAACCCCAAACCACTGCTCCATGCTTCTCTTTGTCTCATATGGTACCCCGAATATTCTCGTGGCATTTAACACTGCTACAGGAGAGGGATGGGAGCAGAGACAAAAACCCTGTTTCAGGGGGCAGATGCAGTGGCAGCTGGGGTTGGTACTATTCCCTCCATATCACCTCTAAACACCTGTCCTGTATGCTTTCCTCACTGCACAAGCTTCCGCTGGACAGCTGTTAGCGCCTCGCACAGAAATGAAGCGCCTTCTACCGAAAGCATCATAGTTCCTCCTCCGGAACGGAGCTACTTTGAAAATCTTAAGCTCTTGCTGGAGAAAAAAAATAAGTCTTTGACGCGAAGATTAAGCCCCTTCTCCGGCCCCGTGCCTCTTATGAATATTAATCAGAGGAGGAATGTTTTAATCTCTCTTATCCCTTCACTGCTGCCTGGGTAACGATATGAAATCTAATTATTTGGTCTGATATTAACCCCCCCCTCCTTTCGCCTCTCCTCGCACCCCCCCCTCCCTCCCATCACAACTCCAGTCTTTCAACCCAACTCTGTCAGGGCCCTCATCACCCCTCAGCTTATCACACCGAGAAACACCCTGTTCTAAGTATGATAAAACAGGAATGCTAATGATGCCTGCCCAGTTTATTTTTGCTATCCATTTTTTCAGCAAAAAAAAAAAGCCTTCCTGATGTCCTCTGCGGTGTGTTCAACCATTTTTGCTGGTGCTGCTGCAAGAACTTTAAAGAATTCAGGCCCCTGTGCTGTCCACAGCCCCGGAGAAGAGAAGAGACGCAGAAAGAGTTGAACCGCTCTTCATCAAACCTATCTTGTTATGTCAAACAGTCATTAAGATGATGATAATGTTAAAACTAAACCCAGAGTCTGTTTCAATTAAGTTTTATCTGCAAAAAATGGAACAAACATATGCACTTAACAGAGGTCAGAAATGGTGTCATTTTTATGTCAGCATAGATAAATGTGCCTACGGAGATAAATTATGTGATGAATACTTACCCTAGTGCTCCTTGTATTTTAATTTAAAGTCTCATACGTATGAGTGTGCTTCACAGACTTCACATAAATACATAAATTCACTTTTATGACTTTTAATTTTTCAGGCACTTGCAGGTAAAAGTAATTACAATGCTTTTATGTTAAAGTAGAGCTAACGGAAAAGACTCTCACAAACCTCAAAAGAATGACACGTGACCAACTTTACATGCAGTCTTTTCATTCTAAATGGTATTCTGGCCATATTCAGGCAGTATGTAAAGAATGATCGGTCTGGTAAATCGCTGGTACTGTACAACTTGGAGCCCATTATTATCGGTAGGGAGGAGTTAAGGCACTCAGGCTTGTGAAAGACAATGGCCATTATTCACCCAGTGTGCAGACTGTCTACT